CTGAGAGAGTGTGACTTGCCCAAGGTCATCCCAGTGGGTTTCCATGGCCAAGGTGGAAATTGAACCCTGATCTCTATAGAATAGTCCAACACTCAAACCACTATGCCATGTTGCATCAAATAATGCAATTTGACACTACTTTAACTGCCCTGGCTCCATCCTACAGAATCCTGGGGTTTGTAGTTTTTGTGAGGCACCAGAGCTTTTTAGCAGAGAAAGACTAAACCCCAGGATCACATAGGACATGGAGGTACAGCATTATGTATGCATTATTTCTATTTCTATTACTCTGGAGATCAGGGTTTGATTCCCTATTCCCTACTCAGCCATGGAAACCCACTGGGTGACCTTGGGCAAGTCATATACTCTCAGCCTCAGGGGAAGACAATGGCAAACCTCCTCTAAACAAATCTTGCCAAGTAAACCCCATGATAGGATTACCATAGGGTCTCAAGTAAAAAATGACTTGAAGGCACACAACAACAACAACAACAACAACAAAACATGCACCCAGTTGTCATGAGTCCCACCTCTGAGAGAAAGGATCAATATTTATTAATAATGAGTCTCACTTTTGAGAGTAAAGCAAGATATTTATTAATAAGGAACAACATGCCATGCTTAGGTTTAACTGCTGTTTTATGTTTATAACAATGGTTTTTTATTGTTTCATCTTTAATATTCGTATGTTGTGAATTTTAGATTCTTGAGACAGCTGCTATCTACCTGGCCTGTGGTAGATAGGCAGGCAAACATATCTGTAACAGAAATGCTAAATTAGGATTATATTTTCTCCCAGATCAAGCTTTACTGCAGGCACACTGCTACAAACCAACACCAAAAGTCTCTGTTTCTCCAGCTCTTCTTCATCACTCTTCCAATGTCAAAGCCAAAAGTTACCCAGGATGAAATTAAATCTCATGTTTACATTCAATAAAGAGACAGGAAGAATCTTGCTAAATCAGTCCATTTTTTTCCACCATGACTAGCCCAGTGGTTTCTGGATGTCCAGAAGGAACCATTAGGACAATCACACTCTTATACTCTTTGGGGCACTTAAATCTTATTCAGTGGTCTATTTATCTTTTAATTTTCTATCCCACTTTACCATCTAAAAGGCTTATGGTAAATTACAAAATGACATAAAAATGATAAAAATAAAACAAGAGTCACATACATATTTGTTGTTGTCAGCTGCTTTTGCATCAACTTTAACTCATGGCAACCCTGTGGATGAGACATCTCCAAGACCCCCTGTCCTCCACTTCTCTGTTTAGGTCCTGCAGACTCAGGCCCATGACCTCCCTGATTGAGTCCATCCATCTGGCATGCCATCTTCCTCTCTCGACTGCCCTTCACCTTTCCCACCATCATTATCTTTTCTAATGAGTCGTGCCTTTTCATGATGTGGCAAAAGTACAACAGCCTCAATTTGATCATCTTGGCTTTCGGGGAGATTTCAGGCTTGATCTGTTCAAGGACCCATTTGTTTGTCTTTTTGGCTGTCCATGGTATTCTCAGCACTCTTCTCCAGCACCACATTTCAAATGAGTTTATTTTCTTCCTATCCGCTTTCTTCACTGTCCAGCTCCCACATCCATACATGGTGGTGGGGAATACAAAAGCTTGGACATTTCTAACTTTAGTGCTCAGTTGTATATCTTTATATTTTAGGATCTTGTCTAGTTCTTTCATGTCTGCCCTTCCCATTCCAAGCCTTCTTCTTAATTCTTGACTGCAATCTCCATTCTGATCTATGTTTGATACAGGGTATGGAAAATGTTTAACTACGGTATTTTGATTTCTTTGTTATCTAGGTTGAATTTATGTAGATCCTCCACCATCATTATTTTTGTTTTCTTTATGCTTCATCAGTAAGCTTGCCTTTGCACTTTCTTCCTTGACTTTCCTTAGTAATTGTTCCAAGTCTATCATGCTTTCTGCTAGTAGTATGGTGTCATCCACATATCTTAGATCAGGGGTAGACAACCTAAGGCCCAGGGGCCAGATGCAGCCCCCTGAGGCCTTTGAACCGGCCCCAGGCCGGTCCTGCCACCACTGCCGCCACCACCCCCCCCGCTGCCGCCGCCCACCATAATGATATTGATTATTGTTATTATTACTTGTTCTTGGGGTTTTCTTGGCAAAATCTCCAAAAGAGTTTTGCCATGGCTTTTCGGGGGCTGAGAGAGTGTGCATGCATATTTTTTAAATGTTTAATTTTTTTAAAA